CATGTTCCTTTGTTTCCGTTTTCCAAGTATTACGGCTGTGAAGGTTTAGCAAGTGTGTCAGATACTTTTTTCCCCCAAATTGATTGACCCTCAGCCACCGCCTTCCATCACATATTTAGGGTTAAGTGTTAGTTTTGGTTGGGAAGAGGAGTGTCAGTTATAGGTTTGGGTTGGATTATATATGATGGGGACTTGACATGACCAGCCGATTGATCGGATCGGGCCCCTCCGACCCTGCCCGTCTAGCCCAGGTAAGGGCCAAAGTGGTGTGTTACAAGATTGTGACCGCTTTACACCTGGGTTACAACCTGCTCAACCACCAGGATCCCAAAGGAAAAAGGTCCCCAGACATTACGGGGTCGCCACCCACGGCCAACAAAGGTGGGGAAGGGAAATGACAAGACAAAACTACAGTAAATTACAAAATTGATTCATTTTCTACTTCTTATCAACCCTTTGCAGGTTATTTAAAGCCAGAAAATATTTTTAGATTATAAGAATGAGTCATATACAATGTGAATTGGAAGTTCTATGTTTAACAAAGATGGTCTTCATGTGGCTGCCTAATTAAAGTCCCCTTTTGGACAGTTGTCTTTATAAGCACACGTGTGCGCATGCACACACTAACCAGTCTGCACTAGGCTTTTCCAGAGATGATTCTGCTATCAGTTTCATTGGAATCTTACCAAAATGTCTGGTTCTGAATACTTTAGAAGTATGGGTCACATGCAACGCTAATAGGGAGTTCTTTGTTTAACAAAGAGGGTCTTTGTGTAGATGCCTAATTAACCAAAGTCAGACTGTTATCCTTATAAGCTCACACACACACACACCATTTTACTCAGTACACACTTCGCAGTCAGGGGCTGCTGCCATCTGTTTTCATCAAAATTCTAGCAGCAGTTAAGTTGGCAACACACCTGCATTTCATCCATTTAGATATCTCTCAATGTCTCAAGGGAAGAAAAAACTTTATTGAAGTTTAACTGCATGAGTGTGATGGTTGCAACTTTTACATTACATTTTCTCATCTATATAAAAAAATGCAAATGACAGTGTGTCATACTTTCAACTTTGCTCCTAGAGGCTGTAGCCCAACATATTATACCATTTTGGAATCAGGCCAACTCCATGAGCAAATTAAAAACATTCTGGGCCAGATCTGGACCCACAATCCTGAAATTTTGGATTCCCAAGTTTTCATTTTTCGAATAACATCTATAACTTGGAATTAAATTTGGGAATAATCAAAATTAATTGTGAAATTCAGCAAAAGTCACCCATGAAATAAAAATAATTGTTTATATGGAAAGTAAGGACCTATGTACCTCAAATTGTCTTTAAATTAAGTGGTGACAGAAGAATTATCTATTACCTATTGTGATGAAGGCCCAATCAAGAGCCCTCTGCAGGAGCTAGCTGAAATGCTGCCTGATAGAGCATCTTTTAAGCTAGTCATTAATAAATTGTTAATAGTTGTTGGTTTCAATCATACTGGGAATGACTGCAAAACACTTTGCCCTTTCCATTTTATAGACAAAAGCACAGAAATAACAGGTCTTGATTTTTTCCTAGACAATAAAATAGGCTGGTTCTTGGTTTCATCTGACTCAGTCCCAGTTTGTCATCTTGAAGTCAGAATGCTACATTTGCTTGTCTGAATTTGCTTTTATGTGTGGACTCTTAGTTTTTAAATTTTTTGCCATATTACTGTTGCTTTACCTTGTATACATTGTTTGCTTGCTTTATATTATCTTTTGTCTCTGTTCCTTTTCTTGTTATTGCTTATTGTAAACTTTGTCAATTCTGTTTGTCGAACAGTTCTGTTATTTATTTTGCATTTAACCATGGCTACTTACTTCACAATAGTTTTATCAACAGTTTGTTCTTTCTGCTAGAATTTGCCACCTTTCATGAAGGTCGCCAGAATCAAGAAAGTCGCTAGGATCGAAATATTGCCTGAACCACAAACCAAAATCCACAGCCTGTTGGAATGAATAAGACATCACACAGTTTGTCCAGCAGGTAAACAACAAAAAGGAAAATTTCCACTAGGTGACAGATCCATTGACAGAGACGAACAGCAGAAATAGCCATGCATCCTTCACTGAACTGTAATAGCTAGGATGGGGATTACTGGCTAAAGTTTTGAAACACCCACAAGAATTATTTTTGGTAACATGACCATCCTATGTATTATACAGACAACAATGAAGTTTTAAGGAAAATAGGAATGAAGAGGAGTGAAATCAGAAAGAGAATGTTGTAATTTCTAGGATATATAAGGAGGAGAGAGGGCTTGAAAAATCTAACACTCACAGGACATATTGAAAGCAAGAAAGACAGGGTGGGGAAAAGAGTAACATAACAGAACAGGGGAGGATAGTAGAGTGACAAATATAGCTTAGTGATACAAAGGATAGGAAGTCGTCAAGAACCACGATTGTTCATGTCCTGAAGGGATATAGTACGTAAAAGAAGAATAGATTAACAATTTAAATTTTCATTATTTACATTATTCAGACTATTGTCCTCATCTTTGTCGCCATATTTATTACAATGTTTCGGCCATTGTACGCTCCGGCCTTCTTCAGGTGGTTGGAATGTCGAACTGAACCCTTTATTTTGCTCACTGGGGTAGACTGTTCTAGACTGTTCTGTGCCATGTTTAATGAATGCCAGTTATCAGTTATCCCCAGTTAATTTCCCTCTGAAAGTTCTTCACTACCTTAACTGGGTATTGAACTTGCACTCATTGGGTCCTGTCACTGGATCTAACTAACGCCTTTATCCACTGTGCCATGTGTCCTCAAGGATAAAGGTGTTAGTTAGATCCAGTGACATCCATTAAACATGGCACGTGGAACTAGAAAGTTTACCTCAGTGGACAAAATAAAGGGTTTAGTTCAACATTCCAACCATTTGAAGGCTGGAGCGTACAATGGCCAAAATGTTGTAATAAATATGGTGACAAAGATGAGGACAATAGTTCAAATAATGTAAATAATGTACATAATACCTCATCTCAGAAATATAGACAGATAATTTAAATTTTATTTCATAAATATAGTTATGGTTCAAAGAATGAATTTGTAAACTTACTTCAGCCTGCTTGTTAAAAGTGTGAATAAGTTCTTTGTCTTCAGAAATTGAGCCTTTACGGCCAAGGATTTTGAAAACAAATGCATCTCGATGGACATCAACAGTTTGCAAGCTAAGGTCAGAAGTCAGTGAGGATAGAGATGAAGCAGTTTTCCAGAGGATTTTACCATCCTTGCCGCTTAGAATGACAACCTGGAAATTAAAAACAAAGAAACCTACTGGTAAACGTTAAATGACTCAATTTAAAAATGAAAATTAAGAAAAATATTGGTTGCTTTTAACTTGAAAAAGAAAAGCCGTGAGCAAACCAGTTTAAACCTAATAAACAAAAATGAAGATAAAGATTATCTTTAGATTACAGAATTTCACTCTATTACTAATGATTTTATTATAGGAATGCATTGAGAACCACAAAGGGATTGTCTGTGGTCAGGAATGAAGGCAGGCATTACTGATAGAATAGAGCTATTATATGTATAATGGAAATGCATTGCTAATGATTTTACTATAGGAATGCATTGAAAATGAGGAAGAAAGGAATTGTCAGTGGTCAGGAATGAAAGTAAGTATTACTAATAGAATATGTAAAATCTTTCATTTCAGAATATGAAAAATACAAAACATTGTCTTACCATTGAATATTCATAGTGTGGCCAAGTCCCATTATACCAGTGCATCATGAAGTCTAAATGCTGATCATCATCAAAATAACCAGGTGCAGGAATGCTGGTAAACAATAAATAAAAGACATTTAAAACAATGATTCAATTCGCCTTTTTGATCCCCAGCAACCCCCCCACCCCCCAATATCAAGATTTTTTTGCTTCTCTCCACCCATTCTCCAAAAGGCACCCAATAAGACAATGGATATCTATGACTGATTATAAGAACTATGATTTTGGGACTAATATCCTCATCCAGTGTTTGTTTTTAAATATACTATTTCTTTTTCAGAATGTTTAATATTATTGAATACCATATGTTTTGTTGTTACAACATTTCAGCCTATCCAATCTCTAGCCATCTTCAGGCTGTGTCTTCTTGTGGGTGGCTGCTACAAAATTTCTTTTCTATGTGGGTTCAAGCTTACAAAAAATTTGTATGCTCTTCACACTCTCCAAGTAAGGTTTCTTTATCTGTCTTCTGTAAGCCTTAATTAGCCATAAGTGGTCAGATGCCATTGCTGCCACACATGAGGAACAGATAGGAGGAGTCCACATCTTCTTGTGTAACCTTCCAGGCACACACTCACAAAGACAGTTCAAATGCTTTATAGCAGAACAAAAAGAAAAATGTAGTTGTGAATGAGATAAGAGATTCTTTGAAGAGACATCAGAGAAAACTTGTATAATACCCTGTTTGAAATGCAGTTATTCGACTTGAAATTAAAAAGAAAATGAGTATGTACCAATTTTATTCACACCTTTTATATTTTAATCGTTCTGATGATTTACCTGAATGATTCATATTTTGCAAAGTCGGCCGCCCACTTCTTTTGCAACGTGAGGCCATCATAAAGAATAACTTTTCCATCAAAAGCACTCATAAGGATGTCCATTATTTTGTCATTGTTTACATCAACAATCACAGGTGGCACAATAAGTCCTTTGTATAAACTCCTGCAATGAAACAAACATGGCATTTTAGAATAATTCTGCAGATTTCTCATAGATCATTCATTTTTTTTATTCAAATGTTATATTTGCAGATGAATTCATTTGTGATAATACAAATGCTACTAAAAAACATTTTTGGGAATCCAAGTTACAAAATAGCTTTCTCAAGAAAAACATTTTTTTATTAATATTCTCATTTTTGTTCTTATTATCACATTTAAGGCATTGTGCCTTCCAAACTTCTTCAGAATTCTGGCAATCTGAGAAATTTTCAGAGGTTCAGGCCATACCACATTGTAACACCAGTTCTTATATGATCACTGAAATTAAGCAACATTGAGCCTGGTCAGTATCTAGATGGGTGATCACTTGAGAATGCCAGATAATACCAAATGCTGTAGGCTTGGGTGTGCAGGTGGTGCAATAGATAATGGCTTGGAATGACAAAATGAGAGCTAAGTTCCAATTCCAGTCAGGTTTGTTATGTTGACTTATGCACAAATACTCTTGGGAAATTTATGAATCCACCACTTCTACCCCACCACTATAGGTTAATTAGTAGGACTTATATCAGAAAATCATTCTTATTTTCAAAAAATTCTTACAATCTAAAAATAACCTGCAACATGTTGATCAGCTATAAAAACAATTCAATTAATTAAAAAATCCTTCAGAGAATTTCAATTTAAGGTGTTTATTTAATCTATGGGACAATAGCCTAATTGATTATCACTAGTCATTCATTGAATATATTTCTAATCAAACATCATATTTGTAAATTAATTCATTTGCATTAAATACAAAGTACTAGGCAACGATGTCAGGAAAATAAAGTACACAATGTCTTCACCTAACATAATTTTTTTTTTCTTTTTAAATCCAGAAAATTAGATCCTTTATTTCTCAAGTCAATAAGTACATAATAAAAGATGTGCCATGGTGAGTTTTCAGTGACAGGTATTCATTGCATTGTAAGTTTCAGGTTTTACACATCATACTTGTACTAGTACTAAGCTGTCTTGCTTTGAAAAAAGATAAAAGACACTCAATGTGACAATTAATTTCAATAGTAATACAATATGGCTGCATCAGCCAATCAAGACACTCCATATCTACTCATTCATCCCCTCATAAACACACATAATTTGCTTAAAGTAAATCTGAGCACCTAATCTGCCATCAAAACTAACCCACAGTTACTTAATTATTGTAGTTTTTCTACTTTTTTTAAACAAAACTAAATTATCACCTAATGTAAAGTTTGAGAGCTACTTAAGGTAGAGGGTTACTGTTAAAATGGTTATAATGAAAAAGGCGTGTGAAAAGAATGAAAGAGGAGGTGATAAGAAGTGAAGATTATGAGGATAAGTAGGATAGATAATGATTGACCCTTGACTTGAAGAGGTTAAGATTGTAGTGTAGAGGGTTACTGTTAAAATGGTTATGATGAATGAGATGTGTAATAGGAATGAAAGAGGAAGTGGTAGGAAGTGAAGATTATGAGGATAAGGCGGATAGATAATTGACCCTTGATTTGAATACCAACCAGAAACAATATCAAGTGAATATTCCAAGGTGATTTTGCAACATTTTCAGCAATCTAGTGATAATGTTTTGAACAACTTGTGCCACACAACAGGTCTTGTCGATGATTAGAACACACATACAAAATCAAGTGTGCTTTAAAATATTTTAACCTGGGTCAGTTTTTATGACTGTTTATGCAGTAAACTTTAGAAATGAAGGCTTCAAAGCAGCCAACAACTAACCAAAAGGAAATAGAGAAAATAAATTAAAAACTTTCAGGATCAAGTGGCACTTAGCTGGAAGGTAGGAAGGAACAGGCTTATGTATGAAAAAAAAAAAAAAAGTCATAGAATAGTTAGAATAGTTTCATGCCACCCATGAGAGAGTTTATATAAATATAAACTAAAGTTCAAATCTTGAGATGGGGATGAACTTGAGGGAAGAGTGAGAGAAAAAAAAAAGCTCAGAGCCATTGGAAAAAAAATGAAATCAATTATCAAGCTTATACTTTAAAAAACTTTTGCAAAAAAATGCTAAAAATTTGTGCTGCAGTAATAAAGGCAAAAGGAGGATATTTTGACAAGAGCAAAATTTAATCATAAATTACTTTTTTTCTTTTTGTCATAATAAAATTTCTAATAAAAAAATCTCGTCTCACTTTTTTTTTTTAACCATGTATAATTTTCTCTTATTTAAAGTATAAAATAACTACTTTTGGGGCCAATTTAAAAATTTACCATGAGTTCTTTCAAACTTTTGAACTGTAGTGTATATCTCACATTTTAATATAAGAAAATAGCTAACTGACCTGTAGATCTGTATATTTCGTTTCTTATGAAGAGCTGGCAAGGATTTTTTCAGTGGAAATTTTACTTCCATATCCATTAATTGGGCACGGAGAACTTCCCAGGGAATCAACCACAAACTTCCTAAAAGCAAAAACAAATACAGAGAGATTTATTCCTGTGATATCTGCTTATATATATATATATATATATATATAAAATACCAAATCCATAGGTAGTAGGGATTATTCCAATGAGGTCTGTTTAATATAAAAATATTAAAAAGTTAACTCCATGATGAGACCTCAATGTATAAATACAGAGCAATATAAATAAATAAATCAATAAATAATAAGGAAAAGACTTAATTAGTCATTATATAATCAGTTAAATTTAAAATTTTGTCTTTAAAATTTTTTATTAAATTTGTCAAATTTCCAAATTAGTTGTTTTATGTTATTGTTAAATTTGCTAAAGTTCATATTTATTTTATTTTCTTCTGTATACTTTCAAATGTTACTACATTTGTTTTGTGTATGTTTATGCAACATTTTTTGGTTTGGTTTGGTTTACGGCACATCAACCTCAATGGGTCATTTAATGCTGACAACTTTTTTTTTTCTGGTAATACTTTTGTTTTGTCAAAAATCTATTTTTGTTAATATTTTTTTCCTCAAAAATGTACAGCTGGTAATATTTTTTTTTTCCAAGAAGTATAGCCAGCAACACTATTCTTTTAGAAAAAAAAAAAAAACAAAAAAAAAAATGGTAATATTTTTTCAAAAATGTACAGCTGGCAACATTATTTTTTCAAAAACATTATCAGAGTCTTTGCTGTTGGACGTAGTTTATCGTCATACCCAGGACATAGATGTAGTTTATCGTCATACCCAGGATGAGATCTGGGTTTGGAGGTGCTGTTGGACGTAGTTTATCGTCTTACCCAGGACGCGGATGTAGTTTATCATCAAAACCGTTTTTGGTTAAAGGAAACAATTTCACGTCATTCAAGATGACGTCATTTAAACAGTCAAACTGGAATTTTTTTTTTTGTGTGTGACTTGAAATTAGGTTGACTAGGCTTAAGACTCCAAGTTCTATACTCAGGAATGTCCCACAGGACAATAACCTACAAGATCAAAGCTTTGGTTTGTGAATTTGGTGATATAGTAAGTTCAATCCCTAGGCTGGGTAGTGCAGACTTAGATTCACTAGAAACTGGGTGAGCTGTTTATTTGATTTTATTAACAGCATATCAACTCCTTATGGGTCATTTAATACTGAAAGTTAATTTTCTTGAAGTAATAAAAATGTTATTCTTCTTTTACAATTGAATAAATGATAGATGATACTCATCTTTTGTACATAAACATATTTGTGCAGATATAATTACTAGGGGCAGTGATATGTGTGTTTTGTAGGTTTGTTGAAGTTATATTTTGGAATACAGTTTCATTTAAGAAATTCTATGGATTAATGGCATGAAAAATTCTTTCATGTTGACTGATATATTGTTGATGATTTTACTATAAATAGGTATTGTTGGTCATTTTACTATAAATAGGTATTGTTGGTCATTTTTTTTATATAAAAATGTATTGCTGGTATTTTTATACTTTCATAGTTTTTTGTTTGGCGGTCTACTATTTGCCCATAGCTAGGACCCAAACAGGTGTTACAACCCTGGTTAAGGGTGAACTTGGGAACAACAGCAATTAAGAGGTGATTCCATGCTCCTCAAAATCTCCGATATCCCAATCAGAGGCATTGCTGCCAGATTTAGTTTATTGTCATACCCAGGACTGAGGGTGAGCTGTACTAGACATGGACAGCAAATTGAGAACAATGTAGCCCCATAGATTAAATAAAGGGTCCAGTTTGAAATTACCTGAAAGTGACCTAGAATGTCAAGTTTAAAGAACGGAGGACACAGCAGCCAAAATCTTGTGATGATAACAACAAAGATCAGGATAATAGCATAATGATAACTCTTCATCCCAGAAATTCAAATGGATATTCACGTCTATATTTTAGCCATTAAATGCTGGAGGTTTGATGACCATTGCTTAAATACTTTTTTTTTCTTACCTGGAGTAGCCAACTGACCACTGCCCAGCAGGATATTGAGTGAATAATTTTGGGAAGGTTTATAAATGACAGGGCTCATGTAGGAACCTTTTTCTGCTGACGTGAGATTCACAGTTGAAGTAAGATTAACAGATTTTCCCAGAGATTTCCCTGTTGCACCAGAAAATAGCAGAAACCGACCATTTTCCTTGCCTGAAATCTGGTAAAAAGAAAAAAAAGAGGATTAATTGAAAGTTTAAATGGGAAATTTAATGGGAAATTAAAAGTTTAAATGGGAAATTAATATAAAACAGTAGTTCTCAACCTTTTTTTTTCTCAATGCTCCTTTTCGCCATATGTCCAAATGTCACCCTCTACCTTTCAAAGATTGTCCAGTTCAAAATGTGCATTCTAAATAATATACATATATTATTAAAAATCATTCTTTTTCCATCTTAGTACATATAAATTAGGTACCTCTACTTGTCAATGAAAAAACAGCATAGCATGATGAAAAAAGACCACAAACTTAATAAAAACAAAGTTTTATTATCAAAATGTTTATGTTATTATTAAGAGGAAAGATGAAAGTATTTTTTATTAAATTTTTTATCCCTTTTCTAGCATGTTTGAAATTTTGGTTAAAAATCTTGTTTTATTTGCATTGGTGGTTGATGTAATATCTACAATCAGTGATTTTGTGCTTTTTCAGGTGAAAAAAAAAAAAGCACACTGATTTTGAAATTCTTGCAAAAATCAATTGTCTGATTTTAATGAAACTTTCAGGACTTATTCACAAATGAATTAAATTATTGAATTTTTTTTTTTTTTTTTACATATAGTATTTTCGCTCCCCCACTTAATTTCATGAAATTTCAAGAAATTAATTTTTCAATCTCAAAATTTGATTTATTAGTTAAAAGTAGGACTCCTTGCAGAATGTAAATCACATTCTTTTTTCAAACTACTGCTCATTTTTACAAAAAAATCTGCCCCGAATCAT